GGACGTGATGGGATACCTGTCTTTTGCGGGGAGGACACCAGCCTCCCAGGGCATCCATGGCGTGCGAGACTATCCCCAGGACATTGGGAATGTTGAGGGTCTACTGCAGCGTATCTTCCGTGAAGGATTGCTGAGTGGCTTCAAGGTCACAAGGTGGCCGAGAAATGCCAGCCTGTCTGGGATTCTGTGGTTTGGGCAAGACATACCCTACCACATGTAAACGGGCTCCTGAGGAGGGGATGGACATCGAGTTTGTGGCCACTCCAGCAAGGCGCTCGTGACAGGATGGTCTTAGGCCTGTACAACCCAGGGCAGTACTCATTTTACCACAAGTGGGGCTGGTTGGTGGAACACCTGTGTCTACTTACATGACAGGTTCACGGCCAGCTCAAACCCCACACCGACAACCCACAGATGGGCAGCGCTCCTGGAGGGCCATCACACCAACAATTGCCAGGCAAGAAAAGGTTGATGTTATATCTGTGGTGAGACTGGTCACCTTAGTGCTACGTGTCCCTTTAGCCAACACTGCTTGGGTGGAGTCTCCAGCTTGCGGTAGGCCACACCAGTACACTGGGAACTGACCCAACCAGCTGAAACCTAGGTTCATAGGAAGGGCCAATGATAGTCCTCGAAGTGGGAGTTAAGGGCGTTCTCCTGTTTTCTAGTCAAATGGTCAGAGGTGACGATGGTGAGAGAGGAGGCTGACACACGCATCCTTGGGGTCCGTCTGCATGTCAGCTCAAGAACATAACAGACCCATTTCATGGCTTTCACCCATGGTGCTGGTCTGGAAAAAGGATAGTTCTCACCAGTTCTGTGTCGACTACCGAGGCCTGAACTAGGAGACAACACCAGACACCTACCCCATTCCCTGCATTGATGAGATGTTGGACTCTTTGTCTGCATGCCTGGTATCACTGTTCCATCGGTTCATACAGCTGGGCCCATTGTGTGACAAAAGAGCCAACAGAGTACACGGGTCTTTCTCGACCACTGTGTTACTCTGGGCTGCCTGACCATCTCCACACTGACAATGGCCTAAAGATCTCTGATGAGTGGCCCTCACTTCTGGAGGTCCTGCAAGTGCAACACTCTTTTACCATGGCTTATCACCCCCAGTCCAATGGGATAGCTTAGTGCTCCAATCGGACGGTGAAAGACGTGCTGGCGGCGCTGGCGCGGCAGGCTCCTTCGCAGTGACCCACTCATCTGCCTGCTGTACACCTTGCCCAGAACTCAACCATCCACCGTGCTGTTGGAGACCAGCTGTTGTACTTACTGATGGGACATATGACGCTCTTTTGGAAGGGCCTGACTAATCACCAGACTCTGGACCTGGACCTGATATTGGGGTGTCTTGCAAATGCATGCTGGGGTAAATGTTTTATAAAAGGACCGCACCCGTCGGAGACAAAGTCCCGAACTCCAGCAACAATCTTGGGGGATCCCATGGGGAACCCGGGTTTTTTTTTTGGGGGGGGGGGATGAATATCGATGAGATCGCTAATAAACAGCAACAATAAAGTTCCATGAAGTAATTTTAAATAAGAAAGAAAGTAGAAAAATGAAAAACCTGAGCCAAAAATCGTTCGCAGTAGATTCGAATCGGAGTTACGGGCTAGAACGAACACACAAGCATATGGTAACGCATGATTTACAAGACCGCCGTAAAAGCCAAAAGACCTTCGAACCCAGGGGCTCCGCCCCCGGGCCCCCTCCCGATCGCCGTATTTCCCTATCGGGGGCTCCGCCCCCGCACCCCCTCCCGATCACCGTGTTTCCAGCAGCAGGGGGATCCGCCTCTAAGCCCCTCGAACACTAGCTTTGCCGTAATCATTTTACATACCTTAGTGAGGAGGGTACAGGCGAGCTACGGCAAGGAGGAATTCGTGCAGCCGTTTATTAGACTCGGGGATATTCACCTGGAACATCGTCCGAGCTAAGTATCCCACTAAGTGATACTTCCTCCTTCCGTAGCGGGGAACTTTCGCCTTGGCCTCTCGCCACTTCCGCTCGATGGTGTTGGTATGGGCGGCTGTCACCGGGTCCTCGAAATTTACCGAGTGATTTACCGTTAAATGTGTAAATCCTTTGTGCTCAAGGCATTTATATGCCTTCCAGCAATCACTTATAATAGTCGTACCCGGCTCAATCTTTTCTTTAATGATGCCGAGTAGAGTTTCAGCCTCTCGGGAAGCAACTGGTACCAGGAAAAATTGTCTTGTCTGGCGGCAGACCCCGCCAAACACCCACTGCCCCTCTATTGCGCGGCCAGCATTATACTTACGTTTGCCAAATTTACTTTCATCAATCTCTACAATCTTATCACTGCCACCTATTTTTTCATAGGTGTTTCTGAGACACCATGACACGCACACTTCTCGGCAAAAGCTTACCCAGTCACATAGTTTTTTTTTTTTTTTTTTTTGATAAACCGAGTTCCTCTACCACAAGTTTGTAAGAAAAATAATTTCTTAAATATAAATTAACGAAAATAGATTCGTTTCGATGTCTATATGACTCATCAAACCATGTGTGCTTGAACAGAGACCTTTGGAACTGGCATCTTACACGCCTATTGTTTATTTTTTTAGATTTGTCACATCTAAATATATTTTTTTAGATTTGTCACATCTAAATAGTTTTTTCTTTAAATCTGTTCGGCAGTCTGCCCCACACTTTGTACACTCTGTGGTATATAATAGAAGGGTCATGTGCTCTACAAAAAACGAATGAGTTCTTCAGTTTCACATGAAATTTTTTTGAAAAAGCACCAAAGCCACTGTCACAGTCTTGACACCGGTTTGTCATACTTGAAACTAACCGGCTGTCAAAGTGGCCCATCCTTAGTTTACGCGCGCGAAGTATGAAATGAAATCATTGTAAAAAAAATAAACACAGGCCTTAACTACGTCATGTGACGTAGGTGCGCAGTGGCCGAGCAGTCGGTGTTAACAATGCGCGAGAACTTAGTAAACATAGGTCGCGTGTGGACTTAACCGCGTCAACGCCGAGTGGACTTAGCCGCAGCGCAGCGCGAGTCATATAGACATTTTCGTCGTTTAACTGGAATCGGTGGGCTTCTACAAATTAATTTTGATATCAGTCAATGTAGTTTTTCATTGCCTACAACGCTATGATCTTAAAATTTCTCCTAGTCGGTGCGATCCTTTTGTATACTTTAACCCATGCTGGTTAGCTGTTGAAGTGAGCCGGAAGATGCATGATATCGACAAAGCCCAGCATGACCGAGCCGCACATACCTTAGGCCCATACAAGGAATGCACTCTGTTCGGGTGATTGGTGGGTTGGGCCCTGCCATGTATAGAAGCAGTTGGGCCCTGTTAGTTATGATACTCAGGACCAGCAACCACCACACCGCGTTGTCAGGGTTTATTCCAATCAGATACACCCCAGTTGCTAAAGTAGACTACCTCGAGGAAGCTGACCAAGTGTTGTGTGTGTGAGTGACTCTAAAACGTTTATTGTAGTGGAACCAACCAATCCCCTTAGCCCGTTGTTGTCGTGGGGCGGGCTTAGGAGGCGGAGATGGGACCCTAATGATGGGGAACTCCCTAACCTGGGACTCAGGCACTCGACTCAAAACATAAGTTATTGCATGGTCTTTTTTTTCCCTTCCCACTTTTTTTTCTGTACCACTCACCAAACCATTCTGCTATCCCCCCTAAGTGTGAGAAGCGTGCTGATAAGGATGAAAGGCCTGACCTTGTGCCAGCCTGAACGGACTGAGGGAGCCATGGGCACGGTATTCCCTGATTTAGTTATTCGAGCCCTTACCCCTCAAGGGGACCCTGAGGGGTGGACTGTTTATCCCCAACATAATCCAGGACTCCCTGGCCCAGTAATGAAAATATATCCTCACACTGTAGGGGCAATGAGGCCGACCCCAGCTCGTCCTTTGACACGGCTTCCGAACACTGCAATAACGGCCCCTCACCAATGCCTGCTAGTACGTCGCCAACAATCAAACCTCAAGGAACATTTCCACTCTCCCAGCATGCACAACTTCAACACCTCTACCCCACAAACCTCCAACATCAAACCACCCCATCCTCCTTATTAATACCTTACAGCCTTATAGCCACCTCTCCATAAACACACTCACTATCTTCGTTACGCCCTCGCCCATCTCACCACCCCTATCTATAAAACAATCCTTGAATAACTTCGTCAGTGCAGCCAAAATGGACCGATTTTAGTGATACCCTACCCACAGCTCCCTACTTGACAACACCTTCTCTTTCCAACAAGCCTCAAAAAACAAGTAGGTAAAGTCTCTTTCCGTAGCCGACCCGACCGCTCCGTTCTTGTAACAGTAACATCCGAAACCAAGCCATAGCACTAAACAAAACTGACCCAAATGGTAACCCCATCCTAGCAGAACCCATCCAAC